GTATATTCCAAATCTAAGGCAGAGCATACTAGACATCTCACTCTGGTTCTGAAGAAGTTAAGGGAAGATCAATTGTATGCAAAATTTAGTAAATGTCAATTTCGGTTGGATCAAGTGTCATTCTTAGGACACGTGATATCAGCCCAAGGTATTCTTGTAGACCCTCAGAAGGTAGTTGCAATAGAGAATTACGAACAGCCTCGTACTGTCATGGAAGTACGGAGTTTTCTCGGTTTAGCCGACTATTATTGACGTTTTGTTAAAGATTTCTCAGCTATAGCTCTGCCATTGACGAGGTTAACCGGGAAGGGAGTTAAATTTGAGTGGAGTGATGATTGTGAGCAAAGCTTTCAGCAACTGAAGTATTGTCGCAATCATGCACCTATGTTGGCACTTCCGGATGACAAATGGGAACTTTGAGATTTATAACGATGCTTCTTTGAATGGCATGGGCTGTGTACTAATACAGCATGGTAAAGTGATCACGTATGCTTCGCGATAATTAAAGGCCCACAAAATGAACTATCCCACTCATGATCTCGAGTTAACCGATATTATCTTTGCATTGAAAATCTGGAAGCATTATTTGTACGAAGAAACGTGTCGAATCTTCACCGACCATAAAATTCTTAAATATATTTTTACTTAGAAAGATCATAATCTCAGGCAGCGGAGATTGGTTGAGTTGCCCAGTGATTATGACTACACGATTGAGTATCATCTTGGTCGTGTACATTCTGTAGTAGATGCTTTAAGCAGGAAATCCCAGGGTCGACTTAACTCACTTTATGCATCCAGTGTTCCACTCTTGACAAAGTTGCGATCTACTGGAGTCACATTAGGGGAAGATTACCAAGGAGCTCTACTTGCTAATTTTCAAGTTGGGCCAATTTTGCTGGATCGTGTACTCGAAGCTTAGGCTAATGATTCGGAATCTCAGGAGTTAATACAACAGTGTCTAAAGGGAAAAAGAAAGACCACAGGATTCGGATACCAGATGGTATGCTTATGCAGGGTGATCGGATGTATGTACCAGACATAGCAGAATTAAAGAAAGATATACTTGATGAACCACATATTTCGGCCTATGCAATGCATCCTGGGAGTACCAAGATGTATAACACCATTCGACCTTTCTATTATTGGCCTGTTATGAAAGGAAAAATTGATGAGTATGTGAATTGCTATGCAGTTTGTCAACAAGTCAAGGCAAAGAGGAATAAACCTTTTAGGTTATTACAGCCACTTCCCGTACCTCAGTGGAAATGGGAAGATATTACCATAGATTTCGAGTACAAGTTACCTCATACATGGAATGGTTATGATGGTATTTGGGTGATAGTTGATCGACTCACCAAGTCAGCACACTTCATACCCGTTCGAGAAAATTACTCATTGAGTAATTTGGCAGAACGGTTCATTTCAGAAATTGTCAAATATCATGGTGTTTTGGTGAGTATCATTTCTGATTGGGATCCCAGGTTCACTTATAAGTTTTGGGTAACTTTCCAAGAAGCTCTCTGTTCAAGATTGCTTTACAGCACAGCTTATCACCCTCAAACGGATAGACAATCTGAGAGAACCATTCAAACGCTAGAAGATATGCTGAGATCCTTAGTTTTGTAGTTTGGCGACACTTGGCATAAGCGTTTAGCTTTGATCGAGTTTGCTTATAATAACAGTTATCATTCGGCGCTTTATTGTAAACCATGCCGTACCCCGTTATGTTGGTCTGAAGTTGGCGAGAGAGTGCTAGTGGGCCCTGAGATTGTGGATGAGACCACGTAGAATATTCAGGTGATCAAAGCTAACTTGAAAGCGGCCCAGGATCTACAGAAGAGTATCGCCAATAAACATGCCACTAACAGAGTATATAAAGTTGGAGATTAGGTATTTCTAAAGTTAACTCCGTGGAAAGGCGTGGTACGGTTCGGTAAGAAACATAAGTTAAGTCCTCGGTATATTGGACCGTATCAGATCACTGAGCGAGTTGGTGAAGTTGCCTATAGGCTTAAGCTACCTCCAGAGTTATCAAAGGTACATGATGTTTTCCATGTGTCTATGCTTCGTCACACTGTCTCTGATCCATCGCATGTAATTCCTTCTCAGCCACTGGAGATTAACCCGGATTTTGACCTGCGATAAGGAACCTATGATGATCTTGGATTGGAAAGATAAGGTTCTTCGGAACAAAACCGTTCGTATGGTGAAAGTTTTGTGGAAGAACCATTCAGTCAAGGAAGCCACCTGGGAAACGAAAGAACTCATGCGAGACCTCTATCTATGTCTATTTTATGGCTATTGAAGTGTTGTTGATGTGTAGGAATTTCGGGGATGAAATTTTCTTAAGGGGGTAGATTGTGACGACCCGTCCCAAATTCTTATATATATTTTCTCCCCTAGTGTGTAAAGTGACAATATTGCCCTTGTTGGCTTAGCGACGTGGATGTACATATGCAGTTCTAAATTAATTTCCTCGTTATCAAAATCAGATTGTACTCGACGTCACGAGCTCATTGACACTAGTTAGGGCCGAATCAGAGTCGTAGCAAGGAAGTTACGAACGTATAGAGTGTTAACAAACCAAAATAAGAAACCAAATCACCATAATTCCTATTTCCTTGGACCCAATTTGGTATTCGGGCTATTATATCATCTGGACCAGTCAAAATTAGTCATCTCTCTCCCACTCTTACGGCATCCCAATCAGGGCTTAACATTTTCTTCTTCTGCCCAATCAGGAGGACACACGCACACACACACATGCACGTACACACTCTCTCCCCTCTTCTAGAGCCTTCTCTTTCCTTCTTCTCTCTGCGCTGTGACACCCACGTACACCATCATCATCAAACTCTCTAGGATTGAGTCTTTGGAAACCACCATCATTCTCCTCTCGACCTCATGAACTCAGCCATACCCTTAGTTCATCAAACGGATGACATGAACGTGAGAAACCAAAAGCTTCGATGAGGAGTCAAGTTTGCTCTGACGCAATCCCGGCGTGGTTTTGAGATTTTAAGGCTTGGAAAGGTATTCACCCAACTTTCCTAACTCATTGAAGTAGTTTTGGAGTGAAGTAGACACTGGTATAAACGAGTTTGGAAGGTTGCAGATTTGGCTGGAAGTATCAAGGGAATTTCAAACTGTTTTCCATTAGATTTTGAAATTCTATTAGGTACGAATGTGTTCTACTCTTCAAGACCTTCAAATCCATATAAATTTCATGGATTTTGGTTGAGAAATGACAAAGTTATAAGCTTTAGAAAATTTTCCAGAAATCGACAAGTGTAGCTGGCGGAGTGACCGGAGAAGAAGGGGAATATTTCGTTAACTTTAACGGAATATTCTAACGGTATCAGGTACTGTCAGTTACAATTAATGGAATATTCCATCAAACTGACGGAATATTTCTAACAATGATAGTCAAGCGGACGGCACGTGCCTGCGCATGGCCAGCGCGTGTGGCCGTGCCTTGGCCTGTGCGTGAAGGCGCATCCGGTGTCCAAAAAATTTTCTAAAAATATGTATATGTTCGCACTATCAAGTAGATCACGTTGGGATATTCAAACACCCCATTTGAGCAATGTATGAGGAATTAATCTTGGGCTTTGTTTATGTGCTATCAAATTAACGTTAAAATAGTTGTATCGCATATAGGTGAGAGGTACCCCAAGGACGAGCATGGACAAGCGAGGCTAGGGGGCTACAATCTTACTACTTATCAATGAGTGGGCATTTGTGTTCTACATATATATAAATGCTTTACGATTTCCAAAAACTATTTGATGTTGTGGAGACTCAGGTAAGCTTCAGGTGAGTTAGCATGTGATTGCTATGCATTTATGCATTTAAAGCTTATTATGTTGCACCCCGGTGTTAGTGCTCTCGCCCGAGGCTAAGGCATAGCTTTCACGTGATTGTTCACCTCCTGCACTGCATGCTCACCTTGGATCCAAGTTGTGGTGCTAGCCTATCATACAAACCACAATAGGTGGTTCCGACTCATAGGTGACCCATGATTTATCACATAGCTTTCACGTGATCGTAGCACTTAAGCGTACTTATTTACAACCAGCCTGTCGTACAGGTCACATTAGGTGACTCGGACTCATGTGCAGACATATGTTGATGAGTTATAGGTCCAATCATACAGGTCACGTTAGGTGACTCCGGCTGGCATGCTAATTTATATTGACGTTTTACCTGGCTTACATATTTTAGTGTTGAACGTTATGACATGGCATAATTCTGTTTTCACTGCCCTTGAACATTGTTTTTATATACGTGCATATTACTATTTCCTGGAAATTATACGAGTTTTACGGAGAGGGGTTATTATGTTCATAAAGATAAATGTGTTTTTCTAAAGCTTTGTTTTTGCCCACTCACCCTTCTGTTTTGCGCCCCTCTAGGTTCTATGTAGATGCTCGTCTTTGGTGGTTCACGAGGACTACACAGTGGCTCTGACGTTTCCATAAATAAAAGTAGGGATCTTCTCCCTATTTGTATAATTAGTACTTAGTTAGTTCGACTGCACTTTCATTTTACCTATGCTTTGATATGCATGTATCTTATATTTGATCACTTTTACACACTTACATAGTATCTCTAGTTAAATAAGTGTAGTTTTGGTTTTTAATTATTCACATTTCTTTTATTAGTATCACTTCCGTTGCGCACTTGGCTACGTTACTCTCACGTGACAGCCATCACGTCTTGACTCCGGTCGGGGTTTGTCAATGTTCATCTCTCAATTCCCCCATATATGTTTATCATAATCCCAAGCACAAAATGTGAAAATTGAAGCTAAAAATGAAATGATCACAATATTCACTTAAAGATTATTTGTGTAAAATTACGCTGAATCATAATCCTTGAATATGGAGGAAAGCAAAATTGCACTAAACCTTTATAGGAGGATAAACTTACCCTTTTATTATACACATTAGTTATAAAGAAATAAATATCTTTATATCTTAGAAATATTGACAATTATCTGGGCCATGACTATGACGAATTTATCCCAGTGAATATTACCATCCTCACTGCCCAGCTAATGCAGAAATTGTCTGGGCCATGAGTTCGACGAATTTATCCCAGTGAATATTCCCATCCTCACTGCCCAGCTGCTGCACAAATTGATCCAACTCCTCCTCGGTGGGATCTTGCCCTAACGATCTCAACACATCGGCCAGCTGATCCCTAGTGATTATGCCTTAAAAAACAAAAAAAATTGACAAATTATTAAAGAGTAAGATGAATCAATCTCTTCTTATATGTACTTACTTGAATCAAATTCAAACCCCAACATAGTAGAATAAAATAAACAACATTAACGTAATCATGTACGGAGCTACCTTGGATTTAGGCCCCACTCATTTTTTTGGGTGGAAAAAATGCATATAATGCATATAGGAATCTCATGTTATAGAGCAGTTTCAACCATAAAATTTTTAAAAAATTGATTGAAAAATTGGTTGGGCGATCAATGCATGAGTAATACCAGATTATTTTTATAAAGAGATATTTGATGGTATTGGTAATTAAGAAAATGCGCACATCGAGTGATATTGTAATATATTGTATAAAAAAATAAATAAAAATAGAAAAATCCTTATTAGTTAGTACATAAGCGTTTTGTTTAATAAATTCTTGAGCTTTTCAATTTTTGACTTTGTTGTTTGAGGATGCCCCCATAATAGTTCGGGGCTAAGTTTAGCCCCTCCATGACTGGAGATTTATCATCTGTTACCTATGCCATTATTTACAATAAACAACATTAACATGATAAGGCATGAATGTGTGAGATTGCTAATCATCTTTTACATTGGTGTTGGCTAAGCCTATGTGTACTCAACTGAAAAATTAGATCGGAAGATAAGTTCAGCCCAGTCAGGTTTGAAATTTTGCCTTCGTCCCTGGCAGTACGTACTTTGACATGGTACACACACACACACACACACATCATATACATGTACATATGGAAAGAGGGTTCTAACCAGTGCCATCCGGGTCGAAGGTATTGAATTTAGTCTTGAGCATGTTCAGTTGATCATCTGTCAATTGATCTGCCATTGTTTCTCTTCTTTCCAAATTAAACGCACTGTTTTTCTTTTACTCTACGGAAGCTCTGAAAGAAATGGAGCTATTTAAAGTGCATGCAGTTAGTTCTTTTGGTGGATTGCAGGAAATCTCGTTGCTCTGCTGCTTTTTACTACCCTTATTTGTGTTAATTTCTCAAATGACTACTGAAAATGCAACACTTGGAATTTGACGCGGGTTTTCTGGCGGAAGATAACAAGAGCACATCCTCCATCCAATTCTTTGTATCTATATCTGTATAAAAAGTGAGAAGACAAAAAAGTTAAGACATTCATAATTTCAAAAATACCTATTACGAGTAAAGATTTTAAAATAAAATAATTAAGAATAAGATGTAAAGAGCAAATTGGCACACGTTCATGGCTAGTATCTCTAATATTTGTTAAAAAAATAAAAAAAAATAAAAAAAAAAAAAAAAAAAAAAAAAAAAAAACTTTTTGTTATTATTTTTTTCAGGTTTTAGTATCCGGTCCCTATTTGCTAATGTTCATTGATTGAAACCTTATTAGTGTTCAAATTTTAATTAAAGTCTCTAACATTAACGTATTAATGAATCAATTACATAATTTTTATTACTCACACCTTTATTAAACTCCTAATTATTTTTCAATTCAAAATATTTCCCAAATAAAAATAAGTTTGTGTTGCAGTCATATTTAGAATAGGAATGTGATTGTGTAAATTCTAGTGGATCTAGGAATATCTCTTATATTCCTATTAGGACTTGATTACCTATTAAGAGTTGTAATCCTAAAAGGATAAGGATTTTACCTACCCTACTACTATAAATAAAGGCATACTAGTGTGATATAACACACACCTCGCAATTATATATCTCTTCTCTCTCTTGCTACCGCCAGTCTCCCTCTCTCTGTTCCCTTAGAATAGCTCAGTTAAATAGGCTTATAACACGTTATCAGCACGCTCTTGCCATAAGCTAAAGAACTAACAGATCCTAGAAGGCTATCTTCTACAAAATTCAAAGGCTCTTATTTGTTTTTTGCTACTTAGGTACGCTTAAAATAAAGTAAGATATTTGAAACGTCCATGAAGCATAAAAACATTCCCCATGATGCATGAACTCCCTATATTTATATTTTCCTTCCGATATATATATATATACACGTTTCATGAATTATGCAATTATTTTTGCTATGTGGAATTTGTGAGTCAAAGCATATAAATAAATTAGAAGCAATTTAGGGTTTTTCAAACCCTAGAGAATTTGAAGAAGAAAAAAACAGGAAAATTGGGAACTGTGTGGCACCACCATCGCATCACCACCATGACACCACCGAACCACCACTGGCCTAAAGCCCAATCATGTGGCGCACATCATGACACTGTGTCGTTTTTTGACGCCCTTGGACCACACGGCAACAGCCTTTAGGCTTGCTGTGCTGACCCAAGCACCCCAAGCCTTGCCTAATAAACTCAACAAAGCCCAAAGCCCCATTGCCCAACCAAGAAAACCTATAGCCTTCTTGACCCGTTGTCCTATGATTTGGACTGTCTGTAGCAACCCGTAGCCCATGCGCCCCAGCCCACTTCCCGCAAACTTGTCTGTTGGGCTTAGCTCGCCCTGACCCAGGCCCAGCTTCGGCTAGGCTTCCCAGACCCAACCCAATCAGCTTTTTGTTGGGCCTGCACCCATAACCAATTCCCTTGCCTAAACGCCAGTAACTGCTGCTGCTGAGCTCCCCAACCTCGGGCCGTGACCTGTAACCACATGTGGGCTGCTTTTGCAACCAAACCCGAGACCCAATAGCCTCTAGGGCTTTGCCCTACTCACGACACCTAAGCCCAAACCCTTTTGGGCTATGGTTTTTCGAATCCAATGTTATTCTTTGGCATTTTAAATAATTTTAACCCGAATGTTATTATCATTTTTACTTCCACGATCGACCCCGTTTGGTCCCAATCCATTGAATTAATTAAAAGTGACATGTAATTTATTAATCTGATAATTAATCCAAAATTATTGACCTGAATATTACTTTTGGACATTAACAATTCAATAATTTATTTGTATACTTTGAACTGTTGACATCATTTCGTAGTCCTGAAGCACTCACACTTGAGTTCCCGAAGAAACTCAAATCCACTACACTTCAATCTATATATTGCATACTGTGTTTCTTGCAGGAACTTCTCCTTTATGAACTAATCGTTCATAAAACTAAATTGAACCTATAGTTTCATATTTAGTGCCTTTGTAACCCGAAGTTTTCATTCAAAGCTTACCACATGAAACCTATAGCTTGCATGTTTAAATTAAACCAATACATGTCTATAGAACCCAATGTTCTACAATGTATGTCTATGGACTACCATATGACCAACTACGTTTTGTTGTACCCTCTGTTTTAGGGACATGTCAAACTTAAACAAGCTCGATTTCACTGCTCTGGAAGCCTCCGGAAGAAACTACGTGAAGTTGGTTCAAGAAATGAAGCTCCATCTTACTGCAAAAGGTACTAGAGCCACCATTGAGGCATCCGCCAACAACAAACTCATCGATGAAGCCCAGAAAGCTATTGCCATGATCTTCATTCGAAGACACATCCATGATGCACTGCAGACCAAGTACCTCACTGAAGAGGACCCACGCACCCTCTGCCTTTCTCTAGCTGGCCGTTTCAATCACCCGAAAGACATTTACTTGCCTGAAGCAATACATGACTGGCAACATCTTCAGTTCCAAGGCTTTAAGTCTATGAATGAATAAAACTCTGAAGTATCACTGCTTAAGTTCTATAAAATGGAATTAACAGAATCAGATCTTCTAGAGAATACATATTCGACCTTCCATGCCACCAATATTGTCCTGCAGCAACAATATAGGGCACATACGTTTACCAAATTTTCAAATTTGATCTCTGTTTTACTTCTCGTTGAAAAGCAAAACTAGCTTTTGATGAAGAATCATCAAGCTCGACCCACTAGCTCGAACGCTACGCCTGAAGGTCATGCAACCAATTCTAGCAGCCACAAACGATGAAAGAATCGTCGTGGCAGTGGTAATGGGTGGTAAGCCCCACCACGAGCCCAAGGTCAACAGAGCCAAAGACCACTCAAAGGAAGCTACCGTTCAATCAGATTCCACTAAAATGGACATGTGCTACCGTTGTGGATCACATGATCATTGGTCACACGTATACCAAGCTACCCTCTAAGCACTTGCCAAGTATCATTCCCGTCGTGAGTCTAACTTTGCACATGTGGACCATCCCAAAGTTGCTACTACATCCATAGAGATATCAAATTTTCAAGAGGCATTAACTCCTTGTTTTAGGTTTATGTTTTAATTTTGGACAATTTTTCTAAGAATTTGGAATAATTTGTTTGGTTTTGATTTGTTTTGAATTATGGATAATTATTTAATGGATATTATTTCTCAAATTGATTAATTGAGTGAATGGAATTATATTTATGCATGTGACTAATTCAATCAATTTATTTCTAGGTATGTCTAGTCGGGAAGTTAGTTATCTGACTGATAGGGCTACCACGCACACCATCTTGCATAAGCGACACTATTTTACTAACTTCATACCTAAGAAAGCACCTCTAACAACTCTCTCAGGTTCATCCAACCTGATTGAAGGATACAGAAGGGCCCATATCATGTTATCTAATGGTACAATCTTAACCATTAAAGAGGCCCTCTATTCTCCGAACGTTGCTCAATTTGAGAGATATTCGAGATAATCAATATCATTTTGAAACCACTGAAGAGAATAGTTCTAAATTTCTTTGTATCACTTCTTACGAGTGTGGCCAGAAGCATATAAACAAGAAGCTGGAACGTCTCCCAAGTGGGTTGTACATAACAACCATTCACGACATAGAAGCCCACATTGTGGGTGGCCCTGTACCTGAGTTCTAAAGCACTTTGTTGCTTTGGCATGACCATATGGGACATCCCAGACGTGATATGATGTGCCTTAACCTCAAATCATCACATGGGCATCATTTACCTCCCTCCGTTGGATTCCCACCATGCAAAACATGTTATTTGGGGAAGTAGAATACTCAACCCTCACATACAAAAATTATTCACAACCCCCCTAAGTTTCTTTAGAGGATTCAAGGGGATATTTGTGGACCTATCCAACCAACATACGGACCATTTAGATACTTTATGGTGTTGGTTGATGCATCGACACGATGGTCACATGTTTGCCTGTTGTCCACATGCAACATTGCATTTGCGAAACTCTTCACACAAATTATTAAGCTAAGGGCCCACCACCCTGATTATCCGATCAAGTCGATTCGACTGGATAACTTGCATGTCGATAGAGATTGAAGTCAAACATCTTGTACCCCTTGTTCACACCCAAAACGGCCTAGTAGAAGGTTTCAAAAAGCATCTTCAATTGATAACTTGGACTTTGGTTATGTGAACCAAACTGTCGGTATCTGCCTAAGGTTATGCAATATTGCACACAGCTATGCTGGTCTGCCTGAGGCCCACCGCTACCCAACCTCATTCATCGTTACAGTTGGTTACTCAATATGAGCTTGACGTCTCGCATTTACGCATATTTGGGTGCGCAGTTTATGTGCTAATCGCGCCGCCACTACGTACCAAAATGGGTCCTCAGAGAAAAATAGGAATCTATGTCGGTTATGATTCGCCATCAATTATTTGCTAGTTAAAGCCCTTGATAGGAAATCTCTTTACTGCATGTTTTACGGATTGTCACTTTGATGAGACAGTCTTTTCGTCATTAAGTGGAGATAAGCATGCTAACATTCCTAGAGAACGCAGCGAATTATCATGGTATGCTCCCACTATGTCTTATTTAGATCCCCGCACTGCCCAGTCTGAAACTAAGGTGCGACGATTTATAGATCTTTACAGCATTGCTCAAAGCATGCCAGATGCTTTTACTGATCTAGCTAAGGTGACAATATCATATATACCTGCTGCAAACGCACCTGTAAGGATAGACGTACCCCCGCATATGTCGTAACACCACCTGGGAAGGTCGAACCGTCCCCGAAGGTGGGGAGGCCGCAACTTCCACAGGGCCTAGTACATTGGCGGCTAGCCAATCATCTTCCGACCCTAAAGCATGGTAGACCGCTTGGTTCAAAGGATTCAAAACCCCGAAAGAGGAAAATGTCACCAACTAGTGACCCTAGTTTGAATCCGACCATCGCCCACTCATCTGTTCCAATGTATGAGGTTATTCTAGATTACGGTGATGTCTTAGATGAGACAACCCGACCTCCTAAGAATCGCAAGATTTTGGTCCACTATGCAGTATTGGATGAAGTTTGGAATCGGAATGAGATAATCGTCGACGATGCATTTGCGTACACAGTAGCTACTGACATCATGCTTAGCAATGACATTGAACCATGTTTCATTAATGAATGCTGACGTAACATGAATTGTCAAACAGGAAATAAGCAATCTAGGTCAAACTCAATTCATTTGCAAACGTAAGGTGTTTGGGCCCGTAGCTCTTATTCCACCATATGTGAAACCCGTGGGCTATAAGCGGGTTTTTGTGAGGAAGCGTAATGAGAATAATGAAATATTGTGATACAAAGCACGCCTTGTAGCACAAGGTTTCTCTCAACGCCCTAGATTGATTACGAGGAGACATATTCCCCCGTAATGGATGTCATAATGTTTCGCTACCTAATCAATTTGGTAGTTTTCGAAAAACTGAATATGCAGCTAATAGATGTGGTAACCGCGTATCTCTATGGGGATCTAGATACGAAAATATAAATGAAAGTTTCAAAAGGACTTCCGTTGACGAGTTCAAATAGTTCTAGACCACGAAACATTCTCTCTATTAGATTGAGGAGATCACTCTATACATTGAAACAATCCCGGTAAATGTGGTATAACCGTCTGAGTGAATATTTGACAAGTCAGGGTTATGTGAACAACGAATTATGCCCATGCGTGTTCATAAAGAAGTCACATTCCGGATTTGTAATTGTTGTAGTTATGCCGATGACATAAACCTCATCAGAACTCCCGCAGAGCTTGAGGAAATTGCTACACACTTGAAATCGAAATTTGAGATGAAAGATCTTAAGAAAAGTCGATATTGTCTCTGCCTAGAAATCATGCATTGTTCGGATGGAATCCTAGTACATCAATCGAACTACACCCAGAAGGTGTTACGACTTTTTAATGAGGATAAAGCGAAGCCTTCGAGTACTCTTATGGTCATTTGGACTCTAGATGCTAAACGCGATCCCTTCTGTCCCAAGGAGGATGAGGAAGAGATTTTGGAGCCTGAAGTTCCATACCTAAGTGTAATTGGTGCTTTTTTATACTTGGCTCAATGCATTAAACCCAACATCTCCTTCGCTGTTAATCTTTTGGCTAGATGCAGCAACGCGCCTACACACAGACACATGAATGGTGTTAAAAAAAATTTCTGCTACCTCAAGGGTACGATGGATTTAGGCTTGTTCTGCACCCACAAATCCTTGAAAAGACACACCTCTCCCTTGGTTCTCAGGTTGATTTTTACCTTGTTGGTTACGCAGATGTTGGATATCTATTTGTCCCACATAGGGCACATTCTCAAATGGGCTATGTCATTACCATTGGTGACACCACTCTATCTTGGAGGTTTACCAACCAAACGCTATTTGTGACTTCTTCAAACCATGCTGAAATTCTCACCCTGCATAAAGCATTACGCAAGTGCTTTTGGTTAAAAGCAGTTATGGAACATATTTGAAGCACTAGTGGTCTTACTTCCATCGTTGACCTTCCTACGATGATCTTTGAAGACAATGCAGCATGTATCGAGCAGTTAAAGAAAGGATACATCAAGGGAGACAACACCAAGCACATAGCACCGAAATTCTTTTATTCTCACCAGCAATAACAGTATCAGAACATTGAAGTCAAGCAAATCCGTTCCTAGGACAACCTAGTCGATCTCTTCACCAAGTCATTGCCTAAGTCTACTCTTTAAAAGCTCGTCCAAGGAATCAGTATGCATAAATTATCTGAATTGAATCGCTTGTAATTCTCTTATTTGGAAGTCATGTCTAACTCAAGGGGAGTATCCGGAAGCATACTCACTTGATCTTAATGTGCTCTTTTTCCTATGATTAGGAGTATTTTTTCCACTGGGTTTTTGCTACCTAACGAGGTTTTAATGAGGCACCCATCCTGAGATGATCATACTTCGTAGAGTTCACTACTTTTGTCCTGTTTAATGTTTGTTTCAGACATTATGCATACTTCTCACTTTTCTCATTAGTCTATGGGTTTTTCTCCCACCTTGCATTTTACCATAGCGAGGTTTTGTGAGTTTTACTACTAATGCATACTTTCGTAAATTTGAGACTCGCATTCGCCCGTTGTGCCACCAACTTCATCAACTGTTTTACCTTATCTGCTAAAAATCTGATGCGATATTTGTTTGAGTATTTACACACTCAAGAGGGAGTATTGCAATCATATTTAGAATGGAAATGTGATTGTGTAAATCCTAGTAGATCTAGGAATATCTCTTATATTCCTATTAGGAGTTTATTACCTATTAAGAGTTGTAATCCTAAAAGGGTAAGGATTTTACCTAACCTACTACTATAAATAAAGGCACAATGGGGTGATACAACACACACCTCACAATTAAATCTCTCTTATCTCCCTCTTACTACTGCCGGCCTCCTTCTCTCTATTCCTTTAGAATAGCTCAGTTAAATAGGCCTACAACAGTTTGTACTCATTAATTATTTATAAAAAATACTTTTTAATTTTTTAATGTTAGATGCACCCATTCATATCATTTTTTTAATTTTTTAATTTTTTTTATTCTTATGTGTACCCATTCTTAAATATAACAACTTGTTTATAGGTAAAATGTGTTGTGTGATATATATTCTTATCAATATTGTGATTGTGTAAATCCTAAGTAGAGATAGAATAGGAATCCTTTGAGATCTAGATCTTTCCCAATAGACTTTATATTACTTGGAGAGCAAGTTTCTTTCCTCCTTATTGCTATAAATAAAGGCACAAGAATTGGGGAATTAACACACAATTCCTCAAGTCTATTCTCCATCTTTCTATCTTCCCTTTCCCGCACCCCTTCGTAGAATATAAGTCATAACATGTTATCAGCATGCTCTTCACGCTGTACTAAAGAGATTTTATTCGTCTTCAATCAGGGAAGTATTATGTGTCAATTATTTTAATTGATTAAATTTTGATTTTTATTGAATTCATATACTTTTATTGATTCAATTTTTTTTTCCTTATCTTGAACGTGATACAAGCTCTAGAGATGGAAAGCCGAAATTGAAGAAATAATTTTCTACATCAAACCAGTTCATCCATATCATCACGCAATTAGGTTTTTCCAAAATAACAGTTTTTATCTCGACATTTTTACAGCCCTGATAGCATGAACGTTCACCAAAATGCATGACCCAACTTTACGTTTTTCGAACTTTAGAATCTACATAAATTGTGTATGCATTGTATCCATAATTGTTGAATTATGTGAATTTGATATTTCCATGAATTGCATCAAATATATGTTCATTCATTAAAATGATTTGATTACATATGCATTGAATTAATCTGGAAATTGAAAAAAAAAATATTAATAAAATATAAATTAGGGTTTTGTTCAAACCCCTCCATTGTGTGAGCCACGGCTGGCGAGCTACCAAGCCGTTGAGCCGCTAGCCCTAAGCCTGCATCTTGTGTGGCTGAGCCGCGCCGAGCTATGAGACCACAAGCCAAAGCCAAGGGCTCCAGGTTTGAAAAACCCAAAAACCCCGATGCCTTCCATGGCGTCTCCACCATTACAGGTTGGCCTGCAGCCAATCCTCGCCCACGGGTCAACGTTTTTTTACGACTTGTAGCTCGTCCCCGACAACTATTGATCGAGATCCTTCAAATCTCGTCGAATTTTTCAATTTTCCGATCGAATTTCTAGGGTTTTGGTTGAAACATTGAAGATTTGTCTATCTCCTCTCTGATTCGTGGTCCTTGTTGACTCACGAACTCGCCTCGAGAATTGTTATCCCAAAACATGGCCGTCTGAAGTGACCGTGCCGATCTTTTTCCTCAGCAAGCACACCCATCTATAGCTAGGACGTTTTTCGTCCCAACCCGAGCCCAATTAGGCCTTGATTTCTCAACCTACAGTTTATTTCCTTCTTTGGGCTCACCTGTAGCGTCCCAAACCATTAACTCGGCCCGCGAATAACACCAAGCCCAAGCCGATTTTGTGTCCCCTCTACTCCGCGAAGCACTAGATCCTAACCCAGGCACTGGTGTATCTATGTCCGCGTCGCATCGGATCCCAACCTATGCACTGGTGCATCTGTGTCCTTGAAGCACCAAATCATAGCCGGTTTGGGCCTCTATCCTTGGGCTTGCAGTTGCAGCCTATTTTTCTATAATGCTGGGCCTAACTAAATACTAGGCATGTGATCAACCCAGCCCAATTTTAGGCATGGTCCGCACGATACAATTTACTCAGCTTACCCTGTGGGCCTTGGTCCTTTATTGTAGGCCCTGAATTTAATTGCCTAATTATTTTAGGCCCAATGGGTTTTAAATTTTTTCACCCAACTTATAATTTTGGCCTGAAGTCCAAATAAATATATTATAAATTCTATACATATTTGCATATTTTCTTGTTGCCTATTTTTGTATATATTGCATTTGTTTGCAGGTATTATTCAGGACGACCCCAAATATTGCAAGATAACCTTTGTTTATCATGAAGAGCAGAAGATAAAATACTGGAAAGCAAGGCAAAGCACAAAATAATACTCAACTTTGCTTCCACCATGTTAAAAGCCGCAACAAATGAAACAACTCTACCAATCCTGGCTTAGTTTTGGCCCTACTGGGGTGGGTGGGTGGGTGGGTGGGTGGGAGCTTGTGCAACAACCTTATAACCTTGCAGGTTGTACATCATACTAACGGTGCCCCTAAAAGTGTCATGTTCTTACCTTTTCCTTCGACTAATCAACAATTGTCGTCCATGAACATATAAGCTCAGGACCCCCAACAAAATCGAGGCTGAGTGCCACTCAGACTAAATGATAAATGTGTGTAATGTGCTTACTTGTCCTAAGCATTAGAGGGAAGTTAAAAACAAAAAAAACAAAAAAATTCTTACTAAACACAATTTCCTGAGCATTTGACACAAACAAAATGACTCCCTGTAATTATCTAGCTTGGTAGATGCAGAGGCTTCAATAAGCATCCAAGTTTCGGACAATATATACACACAATTGGAACAATTTAAAAGGGTAACTGAAAACTAAACCGGTAAAAGGCAGCATCACATAGATGAATGATATATTACTTAAATTTCTGAAGTGAGTGCAATAGCTAACAGATTCTTTTGTTCCTTTTTTTCATTATAAACAGATTGAATGCATCATATAAACAAGCTAGCTACGCCGGGCTTACTGATCATACCACCTCCCTAATGCTTCTCCGACGCGGACTCTATCCCCACGTTGCACCGAAAACTTGAACTCTGACGAGGAATCCCCTTTTTCTTGTGAGAGTGATATGGGGGCCTGGAAGACAAGCACCACAGTTGATCCCATGTTGAATGCGGCTACCTGAATAAATGGAAGCAGTGGCAGGTAAAATAAAAACCTTGAATGGATGGAAGCACAAAGCATTGACAGATCAAGATAATAAAGGGATTCAAGAACCTAAGAAAGATTTCCATCTTTGTGCTTGAAACCCACAAGATATAAAACAAAAAAGAGGTTCAAGGCAAAGGGGAATCGTTAGAAGAAAAAAAATTCTGGACCAGATGGGGCAAGAATAACATAAGTATGAAAAAAGATTTTATCTGATTTTAATATTCCAAACAGTTTTCTTTCGTTCTCTTTTACATCTTGGACATGTAATGAAAGCATAAAACTCCTAGAAAAGTTTCAAGGTACATCTCTGACCTCATCCCCTTTCTTGAGCATCCTACCAATACCATCAGGCTCGTATAACTGTTCTTCTGGAGGCCCTGAGGGCAGTAACTTCTTTCTGGCCTGGTTTGTCTGAAGTTCTGGTTCAATGGAAAGCTGCCATGTCCAAATTAAGACAAAGTCAATAACAATAGAAAGCTAATCAGTAGAAACTAGTAGTCCAATTTCACCCAGGTCAAATAAAAAAATTACAACTGGCAATCTGGATTTGCTTCACTTGGGGCCAAGATGCAACTCATGAATTTTTTTTTTTATTTTTTTTATTTAAGCTTTTTTAGTTTTTGTTGTCGAAATAGAAGCACTTGTACGTTTCTCAAAACTTTGCAACACCCCATTTCAGTTGCTTTAATAAAAAAGATGCCGGTGACTTGAAAAACCACCCTATGCATTACCCAGCCTCTATGCACATTATTTGATTGTGTCCTAAACTGATGTTCAGCCTTCTCAGTCAATAACACAAATTATTTTAAATTTAAATGCCAAACCTCAATCGAACCAATATTTGTTGCTCCAATGGCAGCAAGTGCCATAAATCCTTCTTTCCATAGACCTTCGAGAACAACCTGATGGCATAAGAATTGCAAAGACAAAATTGCATCAATAAAAGAACAAAGGAACCCATATTAATCCTGGAAAGATGGCAACCGAACATAGAACAAAGCATGTTGGCATACTGACAAAGGGAAAACCATGGAGCAATAGGATGATTTGACGGTAGATGAAAAGGCCACATATTTCCAAGGAATGCACGTTTTTTATTTTAATGTATCAAATTCGTTTTATGCTTGCAACATAGCATCCACTTTAGAACCTCATACAGACCCTTATTATGTTGTTATGTTCATCTCCTGCATTTCGTTAACGGGTTTTTGCATATCTTCTCATTACATTACATTAGTTCTTGCATCCATCATTAACCCCTAATATGTAAAGCAAAAAAAAAATATCAACAAGGAACACTTTACTTTCTAGAATCAGAATTTACTTTCTAGAATAAGTAAGCATCTCTCATAACAACAATGAAATCAATAATACAACAAACAATATCAACATTCGATCTCACTAATTGTTGTTAAATTCCTGTTATTGTAAACTAATAAGTAACACTTTACCCGTTCATTTTCAACATAAAGGTTTCTGATTGTTCTTGTAGCACGTTCATTTACAGGAAATAGACGACCTGCAAAGTAAATACCAAAATCACAAAGAGAGCAAATGAAATAACTAAATCAATGACATTAAAAGCCAAACTGATCTTCATGAGAATATAAAATGAAAAGTTAAAAGTGAGCAATCAATCGTGTCTTGCTTTACTACATACAGAAAATGGCCAATTACATGTTGAGAGAGATAAAGAACTTTTTCAATAGAAGAAAGTAGGCAGAATACTTCACAATCAAAGATTTGTTAATATAAAGTGACGCAGGGAATGCGTTCAACATGCCAGGTTCCAACAGCCTTTAAGCTTACCCGAAAAGTGACGGCGGACAAGAACATTCCAATCAGCGGGTGCATGAATACGATGATAGTCTCCAGGGTTCAAGTAAATTACACAGTAAAATAGGCCATTCATAGGACTGCAAAGAATACTTATGTATTCATTAATCTGCATTGTATTCAATTTGGTACATGATAAATGATAGTATTAACGGAAATGCAAGTATTTCATTACCATTCTGACACAGGGTCCCAAACTTTAGGGGAAGCCAATGAAACTCTCAACCATGACTTTTTATTCTTCTCCCTGGAAGTATTTTCTGATTCACTACTCTCCTCATGCATATCTCCTTTAGCTATCATAGGAAGAAATGAGTTTGCACCGAGCAGAGAAAAAACAGAATAAGAAAAACCTTTTACTTGTTCAATCATAGCTCCTGCTTCTCTAAGCTCCCCAAATCTTAACACTGTACCATCCACAGGACTAACCTATCACGGTATCACCACAGAAAAATTTATACAAGTCACGTAATACTATAAACACTTCAGAGAGGAACAGATTGGACAATAAGAAGTCCAAAATGCTGGTTACCAGTTACCAGACATCGTGGGTTGGGGTCAATAGGCCTGGAACCTTCTTTCAAGGTTCGAACAAAGAACTCTCGTAAAGATGCGTATTCATCCAGTGGCAGAGCTGCTTCTTCCAAGTCTTACACACAAACATACCATATTATCAAATATATATCATTCAATTTTGAAATTCATGCACAAATTTCTACTTTTCTATCAAAAATAATAAGTTACTAGCTATAGTATCAAAAGTACTAAAAAGGTGTGTGACAACAAAAATTTAAGGTAAAATCTTACTTGAATGGAATGCCCGAGCCCACGCTCCATAAACATGCGGGCGGAGAGAGACTGGAATTTCCTAACAAAAATAAATCATAGTGAGTAATACATTTAAAATTCAATCTGATATCACAAGTAAAAAATAAGTAAGGCAACATAATGAGAGGAAATACAAACCTATTTTCTCTAACAAAGAAGGTGTACAAAATAAATGGAACACATAGGTTTGAAAGGAAAAGATTCGTTAAACATAAGGAATCAAGAAGTGAGAAGATCACTTACCACACTTGTCAATAATCCCCAACATCTGGAAATGGAGCGCAGAGGCAGCAACCTTAAAAATTTAGACTAAGGTTGCCAATTTAAACAAAGTTCACGTCAATGTCAGAAATGGAAAACATTTTTGAACTTAAAACATAGCAGCTATAGTGAAAGCATGAACGTTACAAAAAAAAACCAAGCTAGAATTACAACTGAGACATTACTTTTACATCTGGTTGAAACTCAAGTTCAGCTCCATTCTCTCGTGCCTCCTCGGCCTATCAATCAAGTGGGGGAAAATATTTAGTCATGAATAATCACCAGAACTCCAAGTAAACTTCATATCGATGATCGGATATGCATGTAAGTGTAATAATCGAGGTCCATTTTTGGAATAGGCAGCACGATGTAAGAAATATATAGAAAGTATTGTGCCATAAATTTCAATTTTCATGTGTTAAGCATTAAAATGGTAGATATAGCATGTAGAATTCACCAAAGGGGACAGACAGAAAACAGTAACTATGTAATTAGATGTTTGAATTCGGATGCTTTGGTCAAATGATTTGATCCTTTTACTCAAAGGACCTTCTCAAGCTACACAATCGTCTGGCATCTGACAAATTATGTCTTTTGTTCAATGGCATACTATCCCACATATCTCATTCATGGTTAATTAGTAAATGGGTTTAGCAAATGCAGCTTGGTTCATGGTTAATTAGTTAATTAGTAAATGCTGCTCGGTTCATTCAATCATTCACAACTTTATTCAACTATTTATTATGGATGAATGGAATGTAATTCACCCACATATACCTTCCGGTCTTCATACATCCGACGACCATGTAGAACACCGAGCATAAGTAATGTAGCCACCGTTGCACCAGGCAACAAAAAAGAATCACCTGCATATAAGTTACATAACAATTAACAAATAAATAGCTCATAATCCCGCAATCTAAATCCGAAACCGATAGTGCCAATGATCTCGCACAACGATTAGCAACTAATTCAAGAAATCCCAATTCTTTACGTTCTATTTGTTTGTTAGCATAAAAGGAAAGACAAAGTGGAGGGTTAATTCCATCAAATTAAAGGTTTCATCCTTTCTTTTTGCTCAATTTTCTCAGTAACCAAACGGGAATGAAAAGCGGGAAGTGAAACACTGACCTTTAGAACCGCCGCCTCCACCATTGGCAAACGCGCGAGCTTGAGTGGTTTTATGGAGTTTCTTGAGGAGGGAAGAGAAGCAGCGACGCTGGTTATGGAGGTAAGCGAGGTGTGAGGAGCCAGAGAACATAGGGATTCCATGTGAAACCCTAAATTCCATCTCTGTAAAATTTGATTCAGATACAGTCTTAAGCCTCAGAGTTGCAGGGACGGTGACGATGACAGGGACAGGGTTTTGGGGTTTTGTATCTTTGGATGCCCGTCTCAACAAATTTTCTATTTACATGTGCATCCCTCTACATATGATTTGGGCCTGTTTGAGGAGCAATTTTAATAATACCGATACACTGCAATTATTGGATGGCTCGTGTTAATAATACAATGTTATGTAAAATTAAATGTTTAATGCACAGGATGGCATGATGACGGTGTACATGCGCCATAGAAGTTTTTATGCGGTTTAAGTTTGCTTCTAGGGGGCTTAAAAGTGTTTCCAGATGACCAAAAATGTTATACTTTGAATAAGAACTTGAAGTGTTTATGAATGATAGAAGCAATTTTGGTTTTGGGAGAAGCACTTGAATTTTTAATGGACAAATTGACATGTTTATAGGAAAATTGACACAACCCGACCGAAATTAAGACGTGTTGGCCGTCACATGAGAGTGACGTAGCCATGTGCACAGTGCGGAAGTATAAATAATAATAGAAAAGCGAATAAATAAAAACCAAACTACTAGATAGTTAGAGTAATACGCTAGTGTAAGACTAAGTGTGATAAACATAATCAGAGCACAAAAAGCCTAAGTGCAGTCCAGTAGGACGAATACTAATTACACAACACCCAAAGGTGATCCTACATTTGTGTTGTTCTGTCAAAACCACTGTCAAAGTCCTCATGAGCCACCAAAGCGCTTCTACCTAAAACCTGGAGGGGCGCAAAACAGAAAGTGTGAGTGGGCAAAAACAAAGCTTTTCAAAATCATTTCATTCTCAAAAATTCTAACCCCTCTCTGTAAAAGCTGTATAATTCTCCAGAAAATAAAATATATGAATATATCGAAATCATGCTCAGAATAACAACATTCATAAATATGCCATGATGAATTTCTCAGCATAAAGTATAAGTAAACCAAGTAATATTAATCAATGCAAATGATATGTCAGCTGGAGCCACCTAACGTGACCTGTACGGCTGAATCGAGAGCTCGAATCCACATTTCAACAACTATACTTGCACACGAGTCGGAACCACCTAAAGTGGTCTGTACGACAGGACTGGGTGTAAATAAATACGCTCGAGTGCTACGATCACGTGAAGACTGTGCGAATAATCCCGGGTCACCAACGAGTCGGAACCACCTATAGTGGTCTGTACGATAAGACTGTGCACCTAACTTGGATCCAAGATGAGTGTGTGGTGCGAAAGGTGAACATCACGTGAAGGACTGTGCCCTAACTCTGGGCGGAAGCACTAATACCAGGGTGCAGGTTTATGAGCTCTCAATGCATCTCACATAACCACTAATTCATAACCATAAACTATAAACTTACCTGGCACTTACATGTGCGTCCGTAGCACCAATCATACATATATGCAACTACCAATGCATAAATAAATAGGCAAACACTTTGCATGGCATTTTAAAACATATAAACATTCAATTTCATTTTCTAGGAAAACTCTCAAGTATATAGGTATATATGGCCCACTCACTGGTATGTGGAAGGGTCGTAGCCCCCGAGCCTTGAGTGACTGCACTCGTCCTCAAGATAGGTCTCACCTATATGCAAAACAAATATAAAAACGTCAATTTCAAGCACATAACCAAAATTAGGTAATAACTTCTCATACAATGTTCAAATGGGGTGTTTGAATATACCAACGTGATTTACTCAACCTCACGAACATCCCCATATTTTTAAAATAATTTTCTGACCACCCACGTGTCGCCACGCGCGGCCAAACCCTAACTGGCATTAACGGCCGTTAGGAATATTCTGTTAAAACCTTAACAGAAGTTAACGGCCGTTACCTAACGCCGTTAGAATATTCCATGAAATTTGTACCAAAATGAAGCTTACAACGAGTAGAACAAAATCTTAACACTTTCAAGCCTTGAAATCCACGGGATCTTGCCGGAAAATCCTTAGATATACCAGCCAAATCTGCAACCCACTGAACTCAAGCTTCCCGACATCCAAAACACCTCAAAATTCTTCCCCGAGCTTCGTGAAGACGTTCTAAAGCTTCCTATGACCTTAAAAACTCTTAAAAACCTCACAATAATTAGTGCATGAACAGTGCATGAAAACTGGGGTTAGGGTTCTCGAGGTTTCCAAAGGTTTCAAGTCTCGCAAATGGTATATATGAACTCAGAAACTTGCAAGGAGTTCGAATCTTACCTTCTAGACGTCGATCCGTGCGTGTATGGTTGGTTTTGAAGTTTGTCCGTACAATTGTAAAGGAATGGAAGAAATCTGAGAGGGAGGGGAGAAAGAGAGCCACGGAAGAGTGGTATGAGTGTGTGTGTGTGTATCTTGTTGAGTCAACAACCAAAAACAACTAAACGACACCCCCACAACGCCAACTAACGTCCAAGGGCAATTTTGACACACCCCGATCCAAAAATTGGGGCGTGCTGGCCGTCACGTGAAAGTGACGTAGCCGAGTGCGCAATGCGGAAGTAATAGAGTGAAAATATGAGGAAATAAAGTCGATGGGATAATTTACAATAAAAAGATCAGTGAGTGATAGTGACAAATATGGAAGGAGAAATGCAAAGTAAAAGCTCAAGTATCCTAGGTTTGGCAGTTCTGACAAAGCATCCTCTATGTAGGATTTCCTAGTTATCACTTGCGTAGTATTGTTTATTCTTTTATCACACTTAGCCTTACACTAGCGTATTACTTTAACTAGTTTATCTAGTAGTTTGGTTTTTATTTATTCGTAATTGTTTTATTATTATTACTTCCGTACTGTGCACATGGCTACTTCACTCTCACGTGATGGCCAGCACACCTTGATTTCGGTCGGGATGTGTCAAATTTAATCTTTTCACACCTACGGTACAAATAATTCAGGACGGGCTGTCACAAAAATCACTTCTAAGTTGTAACAAAGTAAATGATGAGCACAAGTGCTTCATTTATAAGCAAATGCCTTAGAATATTGATAAATAACAAATATTTCTTACAAAATTAGAAAGTGAAAGAATTTGTTTTGTTAATAAAGCAATTTGCGTTGGAGGACTATGTGACTACATTGGCCGACTGACCTAATTTACATCTTAAAAAAAAAAAAAAAAAGGAAAAATTCTTTAACCGATTGCATATTACATATTAATCACATAATTAACAATATTTACAACACCATTCTTCCATTTTCAGTTCTTGACATTATATGGATTCTAAAATAGGAACAAATGATTTAATCTTAATTAGCATAGATTTGGTGCATGAAACAAATCTCTAATCCCTAGAATTTAGGCGAAACACTGTATATGGTATGAATCCGACCTGAAAATATCGCAGATATGACGGAGAGACAATTTTATAATATTTTTGTCGTTCCCATAATCAAGGGATCTATCTTTAATTTATTTGCTCTTTTTTTTTGGCTCCTTGTCTGATTTATTATCTATTTGTAGACATTTCATTTCATTTCATACAAAATGCAAAATGCAAGCCTTTTGAAATACCAAACCAAACCAACAAAATCCGAGGCAGTCGGAAAGATGTTTGGGAGTTGTATCCTGAGGTCAACAACTGGGGAAAAGACAAGCACTTCAAGCCTGGAGATGTCTTGAGTAACATCCCTACACCTTTTTTTTTCAAACTAATAAGATCTCTAGTTCAAATGTGTCGTGTTCAATCTCACTCTCAATCCAACTCATCGACTATATTATTTAGCGTCTGTTTGATAGCCTTTTTTTTATTTTTACAATTTTTTGTGAGAGTTAAATAGATGGCATGTTGTTGCCCCAACCACATGCCTTTAAAATTAATTTCCAACAAAAACTGAAATGTTTAGAGGCTGTCTGATAATCATTTTGTTTCTTGTTTTCATCTTTTGTGTTTGATATATGAGGAAATTATATAGGAGAAAACGAGGATTAAAAATGGTGATGAGAGAGAGGGAAGTAATAAAGAAGAAGGATTGAAAACGAAATCTTGAAATTGAAAACAACTTAAAAGAATTTTTTATTTTTTTGTTTCCGGTTTTCATTTTATGTTATTTTTCGTTGTGCATTCCTCATTTACCTTGTATGTTTTCTTCTACCACTAAAACACGAAATGGTTATCGAACGAGTTCTTAATTTTCTCGTCAAACTTGAAGAAATACATACATCTACTAGCTATACATTTTAATTATTATTTTCATACTATTTCTTCATTAGTTTTGTTTTTGCATGCTACAGTTTTCAAATATAGCAACCCATTGTTCCGTGTGCCGGGTGTGGACGGAGAAGGGTACGAAAGATGCAAATCAAAAGAATATCTTAAGAAATTGTAAGAAACTGGGAATGATCGTGTGGTGTTAGAGAAGGGTTCATCCTATTTTATTTGTGATGTTATGGATTACTGTGGATATGGAATGAGAATTGCAGTTAAGGCTGGCTGAGGGATTTATTTGTTAACAATGTTGTTTTTTTTAATATTTCATTTTACAGTATATAATGTGATTCATTTCGTTTCCATATCACACTTTATTTTAGGGTGTTAGATTGAGGATATGTGTGCAATGAAATATAAAGTACTTACGAGATTTGGCAAGTGTGCTTACGTCCTTGGGGCAACAGTAAAAATGCAAAATAACTCTCATTATTCCTCTCGTTCCCTCTAGCCTTGGTATATAGCTAATTGATGTTTTTTCTCTGCAACCCATTATGTATTTCTTCCCTCTTCTCTTGCTGTGTTCTTTGGCAATTTGTAAAGGTAGGGCCATCCACTTAACCAAATAATAGATGGTCATCCATATTTACAATACTCTACCTTGGATGGTCGTTTTGATTGAATATCTCTTTAGAACTTCTCCAATTATAACTCATGAGATGACAAATGTTCAATTGACTGTCTCTTTAGAACTTCTCTAATAATAACTCATGAGATGAATGGATGGTCTAAAGGAAACAAAAATATATTTTGCTCATATGACCAATTTAGCATATTCTTAGATGCTCTTCATGATTATAACCAATGTTCTAAAAAACAGCCTAGGGGGCCGCCTAGGCGGTGGTGACCTGAGGCGTTTTCTTGCAAATCGGTTGGAAAAATCGGTTGAGGTCTAGGCGGCGCC